GCGGACGGCGCCCGGCGTTCGGGCCGCTCCTGACGCCCGCCGCCCGCCCCTGGCCCTCCCCGAGGCGGTGCGACCCGGGCGGCTTTTCCCGAGCCTGGAGAACCGGGACTGCAGGCGCGGGAGGCAGAAGAGGGATGTGGAGCGGACGTGGCACCGGGCTGCCGCGGGATTCTGCACATCCGTGCCCTCCGTGGCTCCTTTGTGCGTGCGGAGATACGAACTGCTCCCAAGCGCGGTCCTGTGGGGCGTGCGAGCCCCTTAGCACGTGGCTGTGGGGCCGCGACAGAGAAAAATGACCCAGTCGAGCTTGAATTTAAAGATCCGTCACTTGAATAGGCCCCAGTGTGTTGACACGAACCATACCTTTTAATAAATAAAATTTATTTATATGCTTTAAATGAAACTTTTAGATGACGTATTTCAATTGTTTTCTAAAGCGTGCCCTGCAAATTAGAGAGGATGCTGATTCTGTAACACGTCATACTCATGAGTTGAACAGATCCTCTGATCCTAAGCTTTTCTGAAATGAAGGAACATAGACTCTGGAAACTTTATCCGTAGCACAAATTGCATCCCACCGGAAATGCTGAAATGTGACTTTTCACAGGTTGTACTGAATACGGTCACGGTCACGGCTGTCTGTCCCTAGGGAAAGGGAGAAGGTGAAAACAAGCCTGTAGCACAATTTTGCTTCCACAGTTGATAGCTGAGCAGTTACTGCCCCAACAAACACCATTTTGTCATCATGGCAAAATGACAAGGGCAGAGTATACAATTTAGATCCCTTTCCTAATCCAAGAATGTCATGTCATACATGGTTACATCCACAATCCCATGTACTTGGGATAAAAGGAAGAATTATGCAAAATTTGTTTTTCTCCAGTTAATCTTTAAAGGCTGTGGCTTATATAGCCGGTCCTCATTTTCCTCTCCCTGGTCCCAGACCCGGCTTTAAGTTTATTAGACTGTGACTATACTTTCTCCATGAAGAATAAAGTTGTTGGTGGGAAGCTTTATTCTTAGCCAAGGATATTGGAACATTTCTCCGGGCCTAATCTGGCCTGAAAATACAGTTTTGTAGCCAAGGCTTTATTTAAATTTTTAAAGTGGTTGTTACCGTCTTAAAATCAAGACATTCCATATAAAAATCTATATTTCCAGCGTCTCTTGGCAAAGCCCTGGCAACACTGCAGCGTTTGTGTACGAGAGTAATCAGGAGGCGCCGGGCAGTGGCTGGCCTCTTTGGGAAAGTATGCTGTCCCATTTCCAGTTGGCTGTGGTCCCCGCCTGGCACTCTACACCCTTTTATGTAACCTGCCCCGTCTCCACAGGCATCTAAGTCCTGCACACTGGGCTGGATGAGCAGAAATGTGATCCACGTGCCCAGGGAGGCGAATTGAAGAACGACTGGAGTAAAACGTTTCCCAGCCAGGCAAGTGGGCATGTAGAAAAAGCCAGCTGGATCCATACTCCACATAGTATGCTACCAGAAATTCTTGTTGTATCAAAGATTTAAGCATAAAAAACAAACCAGAAGATTATTTATAACCTCAGAGTACAAAAGATCCCCGCCACCCCCACCCCCAAGCTAGGGTTTGAACTCAGGGCTTCCCATATGCTGGGCAAGCAATAAAAACTCTTTTCATGTGACAAAAAAATTCAGATTGATAAATTTGATTTTAAAGCTGTGGCATGATCCCCATATTACCAAAAATAAAAAATAAAGTTACAAGCTAAGCCCAAAGGGAAAATATATGGAACTCATTTCTTAAGATTTAATTTCTCTCACAAGAAACTGTTCCTACAAATTAGTAGGATTAAACCTTTTTTTTTTTTTTTTTTTTTTGCGGAACCGGGGATTGAACTCAGGCCCTTGCGCTTGCCAGGCAAACGCTTATTCTACTGAGCCATCTCCCCGGCCCCAGGATTAAACTTTAATAACAAAAAATATGGATCACAGGAATGAAAATATGCCAGGAGTGGTGGTACATGCCTGTAATCCTAGTACTAGGAGGCTGAGGTAGGAGGATTGTTTAAGACCAGCCTGGGCTATAAAGTGAGCTTAAGGACAGCCTTACTACCTACATAGTGAGACAGAGCGAGAGAGAGAGAGAGAGAGAGAGAGAGAGAGAGAGAGAGAGAGAGAGAGAGGC